AGAGTCAGAGTTCATAAATAAACCCTGTGCTGGGTCAGACTTTCCATGTTGAGTCATTTGATAGCAGAGATTTCATTTCATGAAGGGAAGTATTTTCTGAATTTGCCTCATGTGCAAAAACAGTTCATGCTCCATCTAGTTTTAATACTGATGTTTAACATTTACTTCCTCACTTTATTGCAGAGCCTAAAATGTTTGCACAGTACTGCAAAAGCGTGTTTCTCCTCAGGAAACCGTAAAAGTAGATGATGTCCAAAACAATAACACATTCATTATATACTGTACATGGTGTCTGACATCTGAAACCAGGTCTGTAGTCTTAGTTCCTAAAGCTGTAACAAACCAACCTATTATTTCCAATATTCATTAATATCCTAATTGATTGTCTAATTACTATAAAAATGCTCATAAAATATGTTACAACTTCTCACAGCCCAAAAAGACAAATTTTACTCATTCAACACCAAAATCAAACATATTCAGTTTGATAGTGGTGGAAAGTAGCATTATACCTACCCAAGTACAATCTTGAGGTATCTGTATTTTACTTGAGTATTTTCATTTTCTTACTTTTTACTGCACTACATGTATCTAAAAGCTTGCGCTACGCGACCGCCATTACCCAGCCTCCTCCTAGCTAATGTACAGTCTCTGGAAAACAAACTGGACGAGCTAAGGGCTAGGATTACAGCACAACGAGAAATCAGAGAATGCTGTGCTCTAATTCTCGCAGAGACTTGGCTTTCTGACAGAGTTCCAGACTCCGCGATTCAGCTAGAGACTCACTCTGTACACTGGGGAGCTGCACTGCTTCAGGGAGGGTAAAAGGAGGCGGTGTGTGTGTTTATTAATAACTCATGGTGTGGAGATGTACAGACTGTTTATAAGCACTGTTCGCCAGACGTAGAGTTTTTATTGCTGAAATGCTGGCCCTACTATCTAGCCAGAGAACATTGTGCTGTGTTTTTAGCTGCTGTGTATGTTAGCCCAAGAGCTAATTCCTCTGCGGCTCTCAGTAAACTCTATGATGTCATCAACGTTCTAGAGACAGCGCACCCTGATGCTGTATTTATTGCAGGAAACTTTAACCAGTGCAATTTGAATACTGTACTCCCCAAATATTACCAACATGTCAACATTCCCACTCGGGGCAAGAACACTCTGGATCATGTTTACAGTAACATACGT